CTGGCCAGGCTGAAGAGCCCAGGGAGTTCCTCGCCCTTCTGACCATTGTACCCATCAGAGGCAAAAGGGAGGACATGGATGGCAAAGCCTGGGTGATGAAACCCTGTGTCCTCCAGGCATTGCAGCAGTGCCTGTCCCAGTGTGGAAGTGCCCATGGGTCCTGTCTCCACAAAAGAGAGAAAAGATGAGAAAGAAGGGGACAGACTCTTTAGCAGGGTCTATTGTGATAGGAGGAAATAGTTTCAAACCAAAAGAGGGGAGATTGAGGTTGGATATCAGGAAGAAGTTTTTACAATAAAGGTGATGAGGCAGTGGAACAGGTTGCCCAGAGAAGCAGTGGATGCCCCATCCCTGCAACTCAGTGTCAGGCTGGACGGGGCTCTGAGCACCTGGTGGAGCTGTGAGTGTCCTACTTACTGCAGGGGGAGTGGACCAGATGGCCTTTAAGAATCTCTTCCAACTCAAACAAATCTATGATAAAATATGGGTCCTCAACTGGGACCTTGGAAGCTTCTGCACCCCCTGCTAGGGAAAGATCAGGTGTGTCCATAGGGAGACCTATGTTTCATCAAAAATGTTCAGAGTGCTTTCTCCTCCTTAAAATAACTCAGAGATGTGAGGAGCTAGATCAACAGTAAAACTCCAAGTCCTTCCACAGACTCCTTTGAACAAATGTGATGTTTTCAGGATGGTTGCTGCCAGCAGGGTTTTCTCCCTATTTCACTGCCCATCAGTCCTGAGATGACATGAACACACATTTCCAAGAAAGCTGCACGTGTGGGGCTTGTTTCTCCCAACTGCAGGTGTTGCATCTGGACTGTGGATAGGTAGTCATGAAATCCCACCATTACCATACTTGGTTTCCCCACATTCAGTTACTGGTGTGCTGGAGTGGGGTGCCATGCCTGCCCTCACCTCCCCATTGCTGGCACCCATCCTGCTTAGGAGGGTGGGAAAAAAACAGAGCCACAGAAAGTGGATCTGCAGGGGCACTCAGAGGCAGACACAGGGCTGGGCAGCCCCATGGCACTGCTGGGGAGCTCCTGTGTTCTGCTATCTGTGAGCTGTCTGTGAAGGCAAGGGCTAATTTTGCTGCAGCACTGGCACCTGCGGATCTCCTGATGGTGGAAAACCTGCTCTCTCCCAGCTTTCCTTACCAAGCTTTCTAACTTTTTTTTTTTTTTTTTTTTTTTAAATTTTGGGTCACCTTCACACAACCTTGCGTCCCGTGCAAAGTCAGTGCTGCCGGAGCTGGGAGGAGAGAGCCATCAAAGCCAGGCTCCGAGCAGCACGGCCGCACGTCTGCAGCAATTGTGCCACTCTAGGCAGTTGCAGGTGACAACCCTACCAAGCGCCCAGGAGCAGATGAGAAGTTTATGGGCTGTTAATAAACTGTAACCAATCGGTGAATGCTGGCGGGTTGTGTTCAAGCTGTTTGGGGCCACAGGTCCTTGGGAGAGCTTGCACTTGCTCTGCCTTTATTTCAACATAGCAGAAACATTAAAGCATGTGGCAGACTCTCGATGTTTGTTACAGTGAATAGACATATGTCCCTCACACTAGCATGTAGAATATCTAATTAAGTCACACAATGATAGCTTATACCCAGGGGCAGTTGCAAACAAGACGCTGTCACACTCTTAAGAACACAAACAAAATGAAAATTGCCTCTTTATACATTATAATGAATATGTTTTCAACGCATTAGAAGTTCATTTACTAACAGACTCGGTGTGACCGAGAGGATTTCTGCGAGCATCCTTACATTTTTCCGAAGGACCATTTTACACGGTCAGGATTAGGGGCAGTTTGTTAACCGTTCTTCCCCCATGGACTTGAAAGTAGAATTGAAACCTTAGTGCTGCGCTTGCTGTGTGTTCCACGCAAACCTCGCTTCCCAGAGCCCACCTCCGCGGGGTTCTCCCTTCTATAGGACACACGTGCCACGAGTGGGTGTTTGCCTTTCCTCTTCTCCCCTTTGCCTTCATTGTCTCCCCTATTCTTCACCAGCATTTGGCATTTTTGCATGTGAGTGAACCCCCCCCCCCCCCTCCCCGGGATGGTAGGATGGCTGCAGGGGCTGTTTCCCACCACTGCCAGGTGATGGCATGGAAGGATCTGAATAACACTGGGGCTGTAAGCCCTGTCCCTGTGCGGGTTTTCCCATCAGATGGGCAATGCTTCCTTCCTTCCCACAGTATCATTACACGTGACAGACCCGGAGGTGTCCCCTTTGCACTCTCAGCTCACCTGAGCCACGCAGCAGAGCTGGGTCCTTCCTTGTGAAAGGGGCAGTGGGCATGTGGAGAAAAACTTCATACTGGGAACAGCTCCAAGCCATGCTTAGGGACTTGGAACAAAAAGCCCCCTCTCAGAACCCCACTAATTTCTCAGTACAAGGGATTTTTTAAACGCAACTAAAATTGTGCCAGGTTTTGTTGAAGAAAAAAAAAAAAAACAAAAACGAAACAAAAACAAGAAACCAACAACACAAAAAAAAGGAACAGTTTTTTTTTATTTTTTAAGCGGACAAAGCTGTGCATAAATATGTGTCTTATACATATATGTATACGTCTTCCTGAAAATAGCGTTTAACAAATGCCTGCTGCATCTGCGGGATTCTCCAGCAACCCCGACGCCGCGATCAATCTGCAGTCTGCTGATGGTTGGTGACAGTGATTGATTGATTTTTCCTGCTAATAGGATCAACATTGGGAATACATTAAAGTAAAAGGCACGCTTCTGACTCGCAGGAAACACCCTGCGTATCGGGCCCGGGCCGATTGTGTTGGTTTTGGCAGCGGGGTTCGGTGATTGATGACGGGCAGGGAGCTGAGGGCTGCCCCGAGAGGAGCTCAGCTCCCTGCGTGTGCATGACACTGGGACGGGGACACGCATCAGCGGGGACAAAGGAGCGGGGTGGCCCGTCCCGATAACCTCTTCTAATGCATATGGTGGGATCTGACCTGCCAGTTCAAGGAGTGGAGGCGAAAAGCTGATGGGAAATTGATTCTCAGGAGTTTGTCAAGACATCTCCAACAAGTGAAGATAAATGGGGGAACAAAACTTCTAAAGACAACCCCAAGAATAGGGATGAATGCAAGAAGGGAAACGCTATTTTGCATTTACATCCATCTTTTAGGGCAAAAAGGCTCCGAGGCGAGCTCTGTGCTCTTGCAGCATCTCAGCTCGGTGGCACCGCTAGAAATTGTCGGCCCCTTCCGTACCGCCGCGTGCGGGAGCGGGGCAGAGCCATGCGCTGCTGCTGTCGGGGGTTGCAGGCCATCGGGGTACACGGGACATCTGTCTATCCCTATGGAAGTGCAAAAAGCAGCCCTGCTCCCGCCAGCAAGGACACGGCACCTCGGGGCTGTGCCGCTCCCGCAGCTCTTGTCCCTGCCGTGTCCCAGCACACGTGCCGTGCCCGGTTCCGAACGTGGGGAGACTGCAAGGATGAGGCGTGAGGCGTTCTCCCTCATCTCGGGGAACTGAGGTGCAGAGGTGCGGTGTCTCCGCCGCTGTTCGCAGAACATATGGGCCGTGCCCACCCTCCCCCCCCCCCCTCCCCGTAACCCTACCCGGCCGTACCCTGCGGGGCCCTTCCCCGTGCGGGGCGGCATATGGGGCCGCGCCGGGAGCCCGGCAGCACGGCTAATTCTATTTGCAGGTAGCCTCGGGAGGGACCACCTGTTGGTGTTGGGACTCTGGGCTGGGACGGAGCCGTCGCGCGGGGGGGGGGAGGGCGGACGGCAGAGGGGAGAGCGGACAGTTTAGCGGCTACCGGCCGCTGCCGACAGTTGCATCTGTCGGGGCGCTCATTATGGCTTTTAGAGGAGATAAAGAGCGGCTTCTAACGATGCTCCCTCCGACGCTCACCTGCTCCCCCTGCACGACGCTAATTGGGCAGAACGCCGTAGGTAGCGGCCGCGCAGCCCCGGGGGAGCGGCCCGGCTGGGACCCCGTCCTTCGGGGCTCCGGGAGGTGGCCGTGTGCCCTCCGCGGGGCCGGCCTTCGTTTGGACGCGGCGGGAGAAAACGGCGGACGAGTGGCGGAGTTTCGCGTTTCCTTCCCCCGAAGCGTTTCGAGCTCCCGCCGAGGGCCGGACCCTGTGGGTACAGCACCCCGATTCGGTGCCCGGGGGGCATTCGCTGCTCCTTCCCCACCCGCGTTCTGCGAGGAACGAGTGAAGAAAAACGATTTCGGCCGCAGAACCATCCCTCCCGTCCCCGCCCCGAGCCCCGACCTTAACGAATACCAAGCGCCATTGACGTAAAACGCTTTTTTTTCCTTTTTTTTCTTTTTATTTAAAATCTCAACAGCGGATCGCTTTTCCTTTCGCAACCAAACAAGTAATAAATATTATTTAGCAACTTTTTTCGTTTTTTTTTTTTTCCTTTTTCTTTTTTACAAAAATAAACGGACGATAAAATCTCTGCAGGGGGCGGCGATAAGAAAAGTGTTACTGCGGGGCCGAGCCTGGGGCTCGGGACTGCGACACGGACACAGAGAGCATTACGGACTTCCAACGTGGTTAGAGGCGGCGGGGACGCGAATTGTGTTACACGCTTTAAAAAAGAGGAGAAATCAAAAAAACCGACCCCCATCGAACCCCATCGGACCGGACCGAGGGGAGCGCGGCGGCTGCGGGGCTGTGACACAGCGCAGCGCTCGGACGGGGCTCAGCGAGGGGTCTATGTACAAAGCCCGAAAGACACAAAACCGACGGAGGGAGATCGGAGCGGGGAGGGTTCGGGTGGGGGTGGGGACGGTCCCCTGTGACAGCGGACGGACAGACCGCTGGGCAGACGGACCGCCAAAGTCCTCGGCGTCGGGTTCCTCCAGCCCGCCGGCCGCGTTCACCCTTCGGCCCGTGCGAAGGGAGAGACGGCGGCGAAGCCGCCGAGAGACGCGCGGACGGCCGCGGGCTGCGGGCGGCTCCTCCCGGCCGGCCCCGCCGTCGGGGCGCTCCGTAGGTGCTGGGGCGGCCCTGCAGGATGGGCTCACTTGGCGTCGGAGGCCAAGCGGGGCAGCGCGGCGCCGCCCATGGCCGAGACGTGGTGATGAGGGGGAGCCGCCACCTGGCACATGCTGCAGGGGCACGGCATCCCCCCCCAGTGCTGGAAGCCTCCTCCCAGCCCCGGAGCGGCGGCGGCGGCCGAGGGCGACTTGAGGAGGCCGTGCGGGGGGCGGATGGAGCCGACGGCCGAGAGGCCGGAGCCGGGCAGGGAGGCGCTGGAGACGGCGGCGGGGGGCAGGATGGGGTGGTGCGCGGGGTGCGAGGCGGGATGGCCCGGATGGGCGGGCAGCGGCGCCGAGTGCGCGCCCATGCCGGCGGGGCAGGCGGCGGGATGGAAAGCGGCGTGGTGGCCGCCGTAGATCTCGCTGACCAGGCGCTTCATCTCCTCCAGCGAGTTGGTGAGCATCAGGATGTAGTTTCTGGCCAGCAGCAGCGTGGCGATCTTGGAGAGCTTGCGCACCGACGGGCCGTGCGCGTAGGGCATCACCTCCCGCAGCCCGTCCATGGCGATGTTGAGGTCGTGCATCCGCTTGCGCTCGCGGCTGTTGATCTTCAGGCGCAGCTGCTGCAGCTCCGGCTCCGTCATCTGCTTCTTGTCCTTCTTGGAGGAGGCGGACGAGGAGGACGAGGACGACGACGACGAGGACTTGAAGCCCAGCTTGTCCACCACCACCACCCCCGCGGCGCTCATGGCGCTGCGCAGCTCGGCGCTCAGCTCCGGCGGCGAATCGCTCTGCGTCGAGCTGGACACGGTGCCGCCCGTGAAGCTCCCGCCGCCTCCTCCTCCTCCGCCGCCACCGCCGCCTTTATTCCGGCCCGCGAGGAAGAGCTCATCGGGCTCCGGGGAGGACGGGCGGCTGGAGACCAGGCTGGCGTCCGAGTCCATGGCCCGGCGAGCGGGCTGCCTGCGGCGGGAGAGAGCCGGGGACGGCCCCAGTCAGCCAGCGTCCGCAGAAAGTTCGCCACGGCCCGTCCCCTCTTGTCTCCTCCCGTCCCATCCCGTCCCGTCCGGTCCCGTCCCGTCCCGTCCCGCCCCTTCGTCTCCCGGCCCGTCTCGTCCCCTCGCCGCCCGCCCCGTCCGCTCCACCCGCCCCGCTGAGGCGCTTCCCTCCGCTGCGTCCCGCCGGGTTCTCACCGTGCTCGGGGCGGCCGTGGGCAGCGGCGCGCCGTGTCGGGCGAGCAGCGCGCACCTTGCTGCTCTCCGGCGGCGCCTTTATAGCCGCGCCGGGGAGGAACAATGTCACCGGGCGGGAGGGGGCCTGCGCCAATCGGCGGCGGCGGGGGGGGCGGCTGATGTCACCGGGGCCGCTCCGGCTCGATGGGGCGGGCGGGCGGCGGGGAGCCCCGCGGGGGGGGGGGGGGCCGGGAAGGGACTTTTGTCAGATCCATCGTAACGTGTAACAATGACAGCTCTGGGAACAGCTGTTGGGGGGGGGGGGGGGGGGGTGGAAACAACTCACCCCTCCTCACACCGCTCACGTCGCTCCGTCCCGGAGCCGGGAGCGGGGCCCGCAGGACGCCCTCCCCGCAACCCCGGCCCCGCACCCGCAGCCGCACGCCCCGAGGCCGCTTCCTCCCGCCGGGGCCGCCCCCCCGCGCCCCCCGGCCCTTTGTTGCATTATTTTGACACCCGCGTGTTTCCCAGCTGGCCCGGCCGGCCCCATCCATCCGTTAAAGATGTCTTTAAAACGTTAAGAAGTGAAGCGTGGAAATGTGTTTCCCAACGGTTGCGGGGCTGATCCGTAACGCGTCAATTAGGGAAATCCGCCCGCCGACAGCCGGGCCGCCCCCCCGCCGCCCTTCGGCGTGTGCCGCCGCTCCGGGACGCGCCCCGGGCGGAGCACCCGCACCTGTCCGCGGGGACGGAGGGATGTGGAGGTGGGCGGCGGGAGCGGGTAGAGGGAGAGTGCGAAGCCGGCGGCCCCCAGCTCGGCCCGGCAACTCCCGTTTGCCTCCGGCCCCGGCCCGTCCTCTCCGTTGGATCGGCGGCATCCGGCGGCTCTGAGCGCCGACTCACGAACCCGGCGGCCGGGCCCTCTGGGGCCTCTTCGGACTGCCTGGGGAGGGGTGAAGGGGAG